AAAAAATAAATAAATAAAATAAAATTAAATTTAAAAATTGGGATCAAAAAAAAAAAAAAAAAGAATGGCACCAATTTGGAAGAAGCTTCATTAGCAACCAACCATGTGTAGGTGACACAACCTTATTTGCTAAACGTGAAAGGGACCTAAAGCACTTAGTGATGAAGATCAAGGACTACAACCTTCAGTATGGATTATACTCCAGCATACAGAAGCAAACCTCACAGCTGGACCAATAAGCAATGATCAATGGAGAAAATAGTGAACTTGTAAAGAATTTCCTTTGACTTAGATCCACAATTAGTGCCCATGAAAGTATGAAATCAGGCAATGTATTATTACATTGGGCAAATCTGCCATGCCTATTTCTAACCAATCTAGCCCCCAACTCCAAAGAAATGTATGTACGTTTCAGTACGTAACATTTACCTATCTGTATTTATGTGTGTCCCCATATCCATTTGTTGTGGTTTCGATTAGCTTTTATACATTGAATAGGATAGGGTTGAGATCTTGCGTAACTAAAGAGCATACCATTCACTCTCTATTTACTCGGGCCTTTTCAACAAACCCTTAGTGTCATGTTGCCAAGCCTGGCAGATTTCTCACTTTGTTTCCCTTGTCCTGTCCTCCAGCTGGGTAACTGCTGGGAGATGACAACGCTTCACTTCCCCTCAAACCTTCTGAGGTCAGCATTTCTATTGTGCCAAAGCTGTGCCCCAACCCCCCACCCTGACCCCAAGCATGCAGGTTTTCCAGAGTGCCCCCTGCTTCTCTGTGATACCTGAAAGTGACCTTGGATTACCACAGCAACCCCTAGGGAGTTCATTCAAAATGTAGTTGTTGCGGTTGGTGGTTAATTGCCGCACTGAAGTTTGGTATGGAAAATTTCATGATGCTGAATTTCTTTGTTCAGATCTACTAGCCCTCAAGGTTTTCTTTGTTCTTGAGCCTCTTTGCCTCTGCAGCTGTCAGCTTGGTTCCGTTCCCATTTAATTTCATGCCAGACTCTGAGGCAGGAATGAGGGCATCGCCAAAGGAGCTGGCTCAGAAGTGAGGAGGAGTGAGTAGGGAGTGATTTCAAAGGGCTTAAATAATTGGACTTTTATTTTGGTTTAATGTTCTTTGAGAACGCTCTCAAAATTGGTGCACCAATAGGAAGGAAGGTTATTGTTCCAACTGTCCTGCATATTTCTAAAACTATGTTGGTATATCCTAACTGACACGATGCTGTTACCTGATTTCATGAGAATTGTTTCCCCTGGATGACAGCTGGGCTGCATCATACATATAGTAGCTTTTCTTTTCTTCCCCCTTGAGGCTTTGCCTAGTCTCATTCACACCTGGAGCATCCAGCTCAGAATTCCCTGATTAGGAGTGTATTGTCAAAGGGCATTGCGTCCTCCTGGACTGCAGTATCATGTGGGTAGTCGTGATGACAGCAAGCAGCAGTTATGGGTTAATTGGAACTCAGCCCTGTCTTCTGTCTCTAATTCTTGTGCTGCTTCCTCTGAACCAGCCATGAGGTCCACACTCCTGTGAGTAGCCTGTTATCAATCCTCAGTGAAATAATTTTGGGTACCTATTTATAGTTTCTGCTTCTGCCTTGTATTAGTTACAAGTTTCCTAAGTTTACTAGTGTCTCTTACTTAATTTTCTCTCTTATCTTCTTATGGAAATCCTTTTGTCCTGCTGTAGTAAAGTATACGGCACTATGTGAAGGACAGGGCCCTGTGGCACAGTGGTTACACATTGAGCTGCTAATCACCAGGAGAGTGATTCAAACCCACCAGGCACCTCTTGGGAAGAAGATGAAGCTGCCTGCTGCCATCACGATTTGAACTCTTGGAAATGGGAAAGCAGTTCTGCTGTGTCCTCGGGGTCGCTATAGGTCAGAATCAACTCCATGACAGTCAGGGGTTTTTATGTGAAGGACAGAACAGGAGACTGGTCAAGAGCGTGGGCTCCGGCACAGATTAAACTGGCTTGTTCAACTCGCTCACCAGCTTGGAGACTGAGCAAGTTATTCTCCTTTTTAAAATGTCCTCCAATGAGGATAATAATAAATAGGAACTACCTCGGAGGACTACAGAACCCTAGAGACATGTGGTTAACAGCCCTCAACTGGCCCCAGCTAGGAAGAAAAATGAGAGAGTGTGCCTCTGTAACGATTTATAGCCTTGGAAATTCTTTGGACAGTTCTTCTGTGTCCTATAGCATCACTATCAGTTGGAATTCACTGGGTGAGAATGGTTTATCTCATAGGATTTTTGTGAGACTTCAAGTTGGTAATGCTTTTAAAGCATGCATCAGTTCCTGGTACGGCATCGGTACTTCTGAAGAGCTTGTTACTAATGTTGTTGTGGTGGTTGTAATGATGATTATGACTAATTCTTTCACAGTTGTACAGGATTTAGGAATATAACCCAAGACCTTGTTTATCTTGTCTTTATGAAAATCTTATTAAAAAATAATCCTGTGACCTCCATCACCTCCCTCCCATATATTCTTTAGCTTTTTTTTGTTTAATGCAGTGAGAAAGGGGGAGGGATGGGGAATAGATATATGTAGATATATTTACCCATAATTCAAGATCTGGCTATGTGTGCTGTAACCTTGTAACAGAAGACAAATAGTTTCAGAGTCATTTTCTGCTGTGTGCTTGTCCTCTATTAATCTGACTTGGTCAGATTTCTTATGTTGGCTTGTGGTGTTTTCCCTTTCCCTCAAAGTCAGAATTCTATTGTCAGATTCATTTTTCTAGAGCCATTCACACATTATGAGGTCTCTGCTTCTACTTTTTATTTTTCTGAAGGTGTAGATTAAATCTCCCCAATTCTACGTTACTCATTTGCTTTTTGCCAAAGTTCATCTTCTTGGCTATTGCCAGCTCTAAGTGACCTGGTCCCTTTCTCGCAGTGTCTCCATCACTTTGCCTCATCCAGTTTGGTGGTGAAAACATCATAAAGAACCTTTATGTTTTCTTTTGGAATGGACTGAGAGTAATATGCTACCATAAAAAAACCTGACTCCCTGCCATCAAGACATTTTTGACTCAGTGATCCTGTAAAACAGTAGAACTGCCCCTGTGGGTTTCTGAGACTGTCCATCTGGATGGGAGTAGAAAGCCTCATTTTTCTCCCACAGATCAACTGGTGGTTTCAAACTGCTGACTTAGCAGTTAGCAGCCCATCACATAACCCACTAATGCCACCAGGGCTCCTGTAAGCTACCATAGCAGTTTCATTTTTCATTCTCTTTCCTTCTGCCTTCACTGGGACTTCTCTGACACGCTTTGCACCGTTGCTGCTTGATTTTCTGCACAGATATATGCCTTCTTAATGATACTCACCTTTAGTGCCTCCCTTCATATTCCTTCCCCTCTCCACAAACACCGGCTTCACCGTTCTTGTGATTTCTCTCTAAATATTGGTGGCAACCTGTGGTATCCCAGATGCCCATGGTTTCAGTTATATATGTGGAGGTTTCCCTGCCACTTTCCCTAAATTCTAAAGCTCTGAGGAGCTACTACGCTATAAATGCCCAGCCAGGACAGTAAAAGGATTGCCTGGCCAACAGGGAATAAAAAGTATTCTTGCCATTGCCAGAAACCTTGTCTTGGCTTGAGGCTGATGTGGACACAGAGCCTTGTTGGGAGGACCACTGACCGTGCAGGGATGAGGCTTCCGTCGAGTTTCTGGGTCTGACCATTAGCCTCCACGCAAGATCAACTGGGAAATGACTTGATGACAAGTTGTTTGGGCTGTGGGGACTACTGTTGTATATTTGCCATTGTTCTAGCCCTTCTTAGTTTGCTGTGTGTTTTGTTTTGTGCTCTTTTTGTTTGCGTGTGTGTGTACATTTCACAAAGTATTTTTATGGGTCTGCCCTGCTGCACATGTAGAGGGGGGAGGTGGTTCCTTCTAGACTGTTGTCCCTCAGCCCACATTAGAAGTAAGGGTGGAAGACCTCTGACAGGTAGTTTACTGCGTCGTTCTGCTGTTCTGCAGTGGAGTCATGATTAACGTCTGGGCTTTCATTCGTTTGGGTCCCCTCAGATACACCTATGAGCGAATTGATGGGCGAGTACGGGGAAACCTGCGCCAGGCAGCCATCGACCGGTTCTGTAAGCCAGACTCAGACCGCTTTGTCTTTCTCCTGTGCACCAGAGCGGGAGGCCTGGGGATCAATCTCACAGCTGCTGACACCTGCATCATATTTGATTCAGACTGGAACCCACAAAATGACCTGCAGGTAACCATTAGGGTAATGCTGTTTGCCTTCGCTGAGTCCAAGGACAGCACGGCAAAGCCTGGCATGCCCACTGTCCGTCGGCCGCGCTCCATGCTCTGGCCTGTGGGGGGCCTCGGTCGGGGGTGGGACAGCGTGAAGCATAGGTGCCTGTCCTCCCCACTCACCAGAGAGAGCAGCTCTTGGTGTTTCACGGCAGTGAAATAGACTTCCAAATAGAAGATAGAATTGCTACTTGTTATTACTACAAAAACATGAAAAAGAAAAAAGAGATTAGACCTGGCTAATTCTCTTAATTTCAGGTATATAGATTGACTAGGATTTCTACTCCATATATCCGGGAGCTTCAAAAAGCTAGTGGGAAAATTCCATTATTTTAAAATTCCATTTTCTTTTGAGTGTTTTGAAGTCCCATTGTACATCATGCTCAGCAAAGTGAGATGACCTCAAGGCTGGGAAGGCTCACAGTGCGGTGGGAGTGGCAGTGACCCCTCATGAGCGCCTCTGCTGTCCACTCAGGGCGACCTGTTATGTGCTCACTTGTGTCCAGCTAAGCGGAGCTGCACGAGACATTTTCTAGCTTTAACCAAAGTAGATGTTGGGTAGCTTAAAATAATGCCTACAAAGACGAGAGATACAAGAAGCCCACGACAGGACGGGGTCCCATTCCAGTGACTCTGCCATGAGGACCCTTTTTCCTTAATTCTCATTAGTGCCTGCTATGCGGGAGTGTTTTTATCTATTGAGTACATATGTAAAAGTAATGACACATAAGTAATGGATTGCAACTTCATGTTGTACATATTACCAATAATAAGATATACCCCCACCCACCCACCCAAAAAAAAAACACCATGATTTTAAGTGCAGTTCTTAATGCAGATGTGTCATAAATTGGTGGCTACCTCTAAAACCTTAAAAGTCAACAGTATAAGCAAATAAGAAAATGACAGAGCCAATACTACCTGTTTTGAAGTTTTTCATCAACCCTGCTTGAAGAATGTGTAGAACTTTAGGTTTACATCCATTATCACGAATGATGAATTTCATATTAAATGTATCTTGGAATACTTGCTAATACTAGGAATGTGAGTGTGTGATGATGGGGAGAATGGATGGGTTGCTGAAGACCTTTTTCATAATAGAGGAGATTGATCAAAACTATTTCACACAACTAAGTAGGTACCTTTGGGGAAACCACCAGGGGAAGGAAGATAACAGGGCAGAGGAAGCAAAGTTGGTGGGTCTTGGGGCTTCTTCCCTGCCAGCTTCACACAGTCATTCTGCTCTGTCTTCTACACTGACTGTGCTCCTTTCCAAACGAAACTTAGCTGAAAGAAAACTGTTCTACCTGAAAACCAGTGCTCGTTAAATGCTTGAATTGGTAACGATTGCCTAAAATTCAGGGGGAAATATGCTAATTCCTTAGAAAGCAAATTATGTGGCATAATATAGGATCACATGAGTCAGCATCAACTCAATGGCAGTGATTTTATGCTCTATGCATGCAACAATGGGCTCAAACATGGCAACAATTGGGAGGATGGCACAAGACTGGGCAGTTGTGTTCTGTTGTACATAGGGTCTTGGTGGGTCAGCAGCAACATGTTCTGTGTCTAACTTCAGAGTTAAACAGATGCATCATGTAACCTCCTTGGGATGGGATATTTGAATACAGATGAGTTGCTAGATAAATGATAACAAATTTTTACAGAAAAAACTTTCACTCAGTACTTAAATTAAAAATGAGCAAAAATTGGCATTTGATCAGCTTAGCTAGAACCAAATGAGTATAAGTGACATAAAACAGAGGTTATAAAGTTGTCACACACAAGTTGTCACCCAGAGTTGACTTGGCGCACAGCCGCGCATCCTTCGTCTGCAGGCATGCTCTCTTCATTGTGCTGCACTTCACTTAATTGTGCTTCCCAGGCATTGCATTCTTTCACAAAGTGAGCTCTGTGCCAACCCTGTGCTGAGCAAGTGTGTTAGCACCATTTTTCCCAATAGCATGTGCTGACTTCATATCTCTGTCACGCGTTGGTAATTCTCACAATATTTCACATTTTATCATAATGCTGTTGCACACACAATAGACAGTAGCATCAGCATAACTTTCATATGCACTGGGGAACAAAAAAAGTTCATATGATGAGTTTTATTGCAGCGGTCTAGAACCAGACCCACAGTATTTCCCATGATATACCTATGGTTGCTTTCCAGCCATGACAGCACTCAGGCAGTTGTAACAGTTACCCACAAAGCTTAACACATTGACAGTCTGGCTTTTTACAGAGGTTTGCTGGCCCCAGATGATTTTCTAGGTCCTCAGTAGCTTTGAAGTTCTGTGTCCATCTGTGGTACTCTGGGCTGTGAGGTATGGTCCCTGGGAGAATGGTTGTGTGAGAAACTGAAATTGGGTAGACGTTTTGAGACCATGTTAGCTGACATACAGTAATTTTCAGTAGGCAAATTGGAGGCTGGGGGCTCACATTTGAAGATGGGCCGTGGCTTCAGATTCACCTCCTTTGCCAAGTTGAAGTGTAAGCATTAACAATTGAGTAGTACACTGGCAAGCAGTGGAAAGACGGAGGGTGCTGGTGTGTAAGCCTGATGGAGAAGTCGGGGTCATCTAAGGTGATTGACTTGTATGTGAGAGAGTCGGAGGGTGTTAGTTGGCTGTCCAGAGTTCAGCGCTGGAAGAGAATGGAGATACTTTGGAGTATCTGTTTTCTAATGACCACTGCTGGGAAAATTGACAAGAGATGAATAAAGGCATGAGGGGTGGGGAAGTCCAAACTGAAATTGGATAGTGTGCCGAGTCTGTTTCTGTACTTCTTCCAACGTTCAACTTGAAGGAGACAAAGAAGCCCAGCCCTAGGGTGTTTCAGGGTGGGGAGCCTGGACCGAGAAGGCGGAAGCTTACTGCCTGAAAGAATCCGTGATCGGGCAGACCAGCATCTTGAGATGTTCAGCCGCTGGCCGTCCAGACTGCAGTTGCTTTTCTGATCTTGAGTCACTGGGTTTCCGCTTTTTGTTGTTGTTGTTGTTGTTCTTAATTAAAAATTCATAACTCAGAACTGTTGTTTATTTCTGAAATGTCAGAAAATTATAAGAGAATTGGAAAGAGTAACTTTAGGGCAGGGAACAGGATCATTGGCTATTGTGTAATGAGATTGGCCGTCTGTAAAGATGTGCTAGAGAAGGTGAGGTCAAAGGTGTTTGTCTCCCACAAAGATGGAGCCAGGTTCTGGGTTTGCTGATTATGAAGTGTGGAGTAAGAGAGCCTCTCCCGAGGCCAAAAGAGACACGGTCACATAGAGACTCCCGTTCGCAGGCACACACTCACTCACTAGCCCTCGTCTTGTCCCAGGCGCTATGCATGTGGCGTTGGAAGGGTTTGGAGACTGGAACCCTGAGACCATCATGTGGGTGATCGGGGAGCAGTCAAATCAGCTGTGAAAATCAGTGAAATGCAAACCTAACTCAACAGACTACAACGTCTAACTGGACTGTTCCTCAGCACTAATCTTGTTAGTTGTGTGATGCTCACACGCACACAGAGCTCGCAGCACACGCTACTGTTTTTTATCCATGAAGGAAGTATTTCCATCATTGTCCGTGCTAGAAGTTTATTAGAGAACCACAGTTCTCATTTTTCTCTGTCATCCTGTTCTTTAGAAGCTGGGCTTGGTCATTGTACTTTTAGCTTGTGTGGGTTGAGGATGTATGCTACCCAATACCTTGTTAATAATTCCACCGTGAACCAGGGACAGCCCTACCCTAGAGAACTTTCCAACAGCTGCAGAAGTCTGTGTGCTAGAAAATGAGTGTTTGCACTGGTGGCAGACAGCCTAGAAAGATCCCATGCAGTCCACAGGGGCACGTTTGACAGGATGCCAAGGGGAGCCCCTGTTCCCTGGCTGGTCTTAGGCAGACCTCCTCAGAGGCTTGGCAGTAAATCCAGCCTACTTGTGTTTGTGAGGGTCAGCTCAACTAAAGTCCCGAGTCCCAAAAGCAGTCCTGCAGACAAACCAAATTCTAGGGCTGAAGAACAGAGCTCCAGTCTCTGAAAAGGCAGCCGATTAGAACAGCTTTCTGGTGCTTTCTGTTGTTATAAGCAAAAGTTCAGTCGTTCATTGCACTGTCTACGATGATTGTTTTCGGTGCGTTGAGGATAAATTGGAGATTTAGGACTTGCTAGTATTTGGGGTTTTTTTTAACATCTGGGCCTTCGTGAAACAAAATACTCTGACATGTCATATGGTGTTTCATGTGGTCTTAGTCTGCTTAGTAAAAACCATCTCCTGCTTCCTACCTATCTGAACAAAATCAGAAGTGGACATAGGAGGATGTCAACCTGTCAAAATGGAGGATCAGGTCATCCGCCTCAGTCAACTGTGGCTACGACTTTCCCTGTAGCCAGAAGACTTCCTTGGTCCTTTTAGGGTAAAAGCCCACTTCCCCAGAGCTGCTGGCAGCCAGGCAGGCACCATGGTGGTTCTTGTCACATAAGCAGACACAGGTTTGTAACTTACATAGCGCAAGTTAGAAACTAATGTGCAAGTGACTAATGTGTAATGTGAGCATTGTTCGCCTTAAAAATACATGAGCCTGTTGCTGGCAAGAAGACTCTTGAGATCACAAAGTGTGTTGTCACACAAAGACACAAGACACCATTGCTAGGGCTTTTTGACCAGCTTTCCTGTGACACTTGAGGAAGAAGTTAAGAAAAGGCGTGGAGGCAGCCCAGAGGTTAGAGTACTATAAGACATGAGTATCTTCTGCTCTTCTCATCAGAGAAGGCAGTCTTGCTGCCAGTTGTGAGTGCTGATGCACGCCTTTTGATGAAGTGGCAGGTGTCCTTAAGCTTCCCCCCACCAAGGGAGGCAGGGAAGCTTTTTGCCTTTAGAGACAAGGGTTCCTTAGGACTATGACAAAGGGAGGTGGGGTGCAGAGGGAAGAAGCTGGCACCATCCTTGGACCTCCCTGTGCTCAGGCCC